CGCCCCGGGCTCTGCCGCCCGCCCCTCCGCTGCGACCGGAGCACCTGGAGCCGCCCGGCTTCCCTCCGCCTCTCCCCGGGCAGGCTGCAGGCTCCCCCCGCCTGCCCTCACCCCTCGACTCCTTCAGCGGGGCTTTGCCCCCTCTCCCGAAGGCGGAAAGTCCACCCGGCCAAAACCCAGCAGGAGCTGGAAGCTGGCAAGTGTCGCTGCCGCGGGTGACTCAGGGCGGTGTCTGAGTCGGGGTACGGGGATGAGGTGCCTAAACACCTTTGGGTGTCTGCGGGCAGAGCCCTGGTGGGTTCTGGCCCAGGGCTGGGCTTGCAGCCCTCTTCAGCACATGGTTCAGACTCTGCTTTTATTTTCTTAATTACTAAAAAAAATAGTCGAGGAAACTCCTCCCTGCAGGTTTGCTCGGAGAGGCTTGGCGGGGGGGGGGGGGTTGGGCTGGGACCCATCGAGCTCATCATGGGGGGGAAGGAGAGCTCCGCTGCGAGCTGCGTGGAGAGACCAGCAAGAAACAGGTTGAGGAGCCTCATCATGGGGGGGAAGGAGAGCTCCGCTGCGAGCTGCGTGGAGAGACCAGCAAGAAACAGGTTGAGGAGCACCGGGCCAAGGGAGGGAAATGGAGGAGAAACTGGCTGTAAACAAAGGGAGCATGACTAGACTAGCTTGGCTCCGGCACTCTGCTGAAGGGAGAACAAAAAATAAACTGCAGAAAGAGGGAAAAGTCAATCATGTTTTCAGCTGGCTGGAGCAGAGTTCAGTTTTGCATGCAGCACTGCAAAGGGAGGCTCTGGGAAGTGTGCTGGGATCGGGGTTTTGGGGCCGTGCAAGCAGGCATCAGTGGAGCTGTTGGCCGAGCATCTGTCCCGGAGCCTAGGATGCTCCTTTTACCAAGAAAGGGCAAGGAGATGGTCCCCTGGGCTGGCCTGGAGCGCGTCTCTCCTTGAGTGCAGCGTGGTCAGAGCATGGGCACTGTCTCCGGGAACCCGCACAAGCTCCTTCCAGTGCCCTTCCGTTTCCCCTTGGTCTCTTGATCTTTGGAAGACAGCGACTAGGTCATGCTCTCATTTAGAAATGCAGTTTCAAGGTTGCTCTGCTCCATCTTTTGATATTTGAAGAGTTTGGCTTTAAGGTTTGGGGGGCTTACTCTAAGGCTTTTTTTCTATAATACCAAGTTTTATGTATTTTCCACAGTATGTCAGAAAAATCATAAGCACAAACTGGAGCGGGTGCTTCTACGGGCCGACAAGGGTCGGTGGGAGCAAATGATGTGCTCTCCACACTGCTCTGCTTCTGCTCAGGGACACCGGCAGTGCCTGCACTTCTGTGCCCTTTGGGGACGAAATTGGAATAATGGTTACACTTGGATTCCTTTATGCTCCAAACCAGACATGAGGTATCAAGAGGGAAAATTT